ATGCGTGTATAAACTATAAACACCGTGGAGTCGTCGCGAGGTCATCAATGGGGTTATTTTTCATATCTGCGGTGGGCACAAAAACTATGATTACTTATATTTATTAATTTTGGTATACTAGGTTACCTAGATATTTGTTCAATATATAATATGTACTTCGTCGAAGTCTGTTGCTAGAGCAGTTTCTCAGCGGTAATAAATATTTTCAATTGGGAAATTAGTCAAATAGACTTACCAGAATGGATGGGTTGGAGCTGACAAGTCGATAACTCAATACTGTAATAGACACGTCCCATGTCGAAGAACGGTTAGATAAGTTGATATTCTTGTTTGTATTTGTATTTTTTTTTCTTTCCAATCCCAACCTTTCCCTCCCAAGGCAGGTCACACTAAACAAACACCATATCTTTGGAATAATTTATTAATTATACTTTAAGGTATATAGAAGATTAGCTTAAGGAAATAATTTATTCGAAGTTTTGTGTTCACCGCATTCATGCGGGTCCCAAACTAATAAACCATTATAATATTGTAGTTATATCTACTATACCAACAACTAATACTAACTAGACCGACCAGAGGGACAACAACCACGATACAGTGGCATATTTATGATTATGACACGCGGGCACAGAAGTCGGCGTGCCGTTAGTATAATTCAAACAAGAAAAGTCAATTACCGAATGACGACGACGTACGTTGTTTGAACGTATATTAGTTGTATTTAAATTTTCGGTTCCGTTTGTATGTTTATAATAATATATTTTGTATGCAGATAAAAGAGTTAGACACGCGAGCGCGTCAATAAATTATGTTTTTTACTTTTGTTACCTATTATATAACATGTTTGGCCATATTTGTAATATTTATTGATAGTGTCGATAGCGATAACTATAAGAAGTACCTATATACTTCCTATATATATTATACTATTTACAATCCAACATGTAGAAACTAATAATATATATAATATGTATGGGTGTAATATACTATATAGTGTAGGTACCTACAATATATTATCATTGTAGTCATATATAGGCACGTTTATGGTAATTATTGGTAAAATAGTAGTCGTCGTGGCCTAGTTATCTATCTGTCGCTGCTCAGTTACTATGGAGTCTAATTAATACTCGCAATAAATAAGTCTTTAGCTCGGGAACTTGTCAAAGAGCTTAATAGTTTTTAATTAAAATAGAAACACGGAACATCGATCAATTGCCATACGTGGCATAAACCATATACCATATACCTACCTATAATAATCGTATTTTAAGAGTTTACGAAGACATATTATTATTTGTATTTTGTGCTAAACCTTTGTTTTTATGAACACACATAACGATAAGGTCAAATGTGTCATTGGCATGCAAAATATAATATGTTTGGCTTTATTATTCGAAATATAATATACTGCGTAGGTATAAAGTATTATACCATAACTCATAAGTACCGGCTTACAATCTATACTGAAAATACAATAGCTAAAAATTATAATGATATATACATTTTGTAAACGAATGTCATTTGTATACTTAGGAGGCACCTACATAATGTTCATAAATTATAGATATACTCGTATACTCAAGTAAAATATTTTCAAATAAAATTTTTATTTATTGATATTTAAATAATTATATTTTACACAGTTTTTGGATTTGATGCAAATTTGTAGCTATAAAAAATAAACACGATACCTAGTGTTAAGCTCTCAAAAACCTGAATATTATAATAGTAAATAGTTGCTAATTTCTATTCAGAAAATAGTTCCAAGTAATACATAAAAGGACATTTAATGTTAGAAATATTATAATAATGAATTATTTTCATTTAAATATGATAAATTAAAAAATACTGGTTTAATGCCGTGAAAATAAATATAACTACGAATAATATAACATCTATAAAGCACGTAGTTATTTTAATTTAACAATATTTCTAGTTGTATGAAAATCGTTTTTACCCCACAAAATCAATTTAATACTACTTAGATGGTATAAATAATTCAGATTAGATGCCCCTAAGCAATTGAATACTGAATATGGACGTAGATAATATTACTAATAGTATACAATAATGTATTGAAATATTAATAAAGATATTCATAATATTTAATACACTTTAGCCTCCTGAGACCCAATGTCCATCCATTATAATGGACAATCATGATAACTGCTTTAGCGCCAAAAATTTATTTTATTTTATTTTTAATTTTAATTTTAATTAAATGTTTTAACGATAGAAATAATTATTTTTTGAAAACAATTTTTTGCAACTATAGATTTATTTATTGAACATATTAAGTATTATTATACAAAAAATGTCTTGAATCATCTTTTGTATTTCTTTTCGCCTATAGTTATATTTAATTTAGAAATAATAATAATAAATGATTTTTTTTACAGTTCATGTAGGTAATACCAATTTATTTTCATTTTTATTAAAAATCATTTTAATATTTTATACCCGAAAGTACCTAATTCGCAAACGTTTCTGATTATGGTTGTTTGTATTGATGAATGTTTTTATATTCCTGGTAAAATTCTGAAATGACGTCACGACGACCTTTTATATAATAGAAAAGCAGCTAGATAAACAGGCCAATTTTTCCGAGATATCAAAATAATAATAATTTGTAACTATAAATAATATTATGGTAGATATATTATATAATTTTGAGCACATTTCAATTTATAATAAGACAGTGAACGCACGACATTATGTAAAGTAAATTACGTGGGAAGACATACAACATTACAATTTACAACTACGCGGAAACTGGTACATACGGATCCAGAAAGCTTCCTTAAACTGTATAATAGCCAATTTCAAAGTGTTAATATGTATACTCATCACGTAAAGAGTGTAATTTCACTGAAAAATTAACAATTTCACCCCCACACCGCCATTCAATTATACTTACCCCATAATATTTAATAATAATGGCTTTATACGATTTTACATTAACGAGGTAAATACTAATTTATTGATACAAAATTTGAACTAATTATTAAACATGTATTATCATAAATAATACAAGGGTGTTCATTTCAAAATTAGGGTATACTAAGCACGCCTCAGTTTTCAAACTGTGGTGATATCAGTATTAACCTTTTACTACGCGCGCAGTACCTACTTATAGTAATACGATCAAAAATGCCCGTACAAATTAAAAAATAAATAAATAAAATTCACTGTGCGAAAAAAAAAATTGTAATACTGGGGGTAAAAGTTGATTAACTGTAATTGAAAACAGGTACATGAAATCACATTATCTTTCCTTTAACGATAATAACTAAATTACTATCATCAATACGTCTATATAGTCATTATATTTTATTTAACATGCATTGTCAAAGAAGAGTTCAAAGATGAAACAATACTAAAAACGTGTCCAACCTAAAAATGTTCATACAAAATGACTCAATCATATTTTAAACGTATTCAAGCTTCAATTGAATACAATAGAATAAAATGTAGGTACTTATAAAGTCCATGTAGAAAACTTAACTCGCATAATATATATTTTTTTTTATCTTGGTTATAATGAAAGCTTTAAGTTTTTGATTGTTAACGTCTCGGTGTTACTTTGATGAATGTATTGGTTTTACAATAGGGACCATTTTTTTTTTGTGTGTGTATAATATGTGTTTAGTGTCTACAAACAATTAAGTTTATTATTATTTTCTATACACAATGAGATTTTCAAAATACTCAGATTAATTTTGAACCATATTTGTATGTCAGACCTATTCACGTTGTTCCACAATATGCATCTGTACATCGGTATTAATTTAAGGTAATAATAATACAACATGATAAAATGTAACAATAATAATATTATATTAAGCTGCAATATTTTTGTCAAGAATTAATTCAATCTTTCGTTTGATCACTAATAATAGATAAATAAATCATTATATTATTATTGTTATATATTATATCCACCTGTAGGTTAAAAGTAGGAATTCCAGATATGTTTTTTTTTAATTACGGGACATTTTAAATCATATACCTATATATTTGTAATTTACATTGGTATCAATTATAGGAGGGGTGAAGAAGTAGTCCCTCAAAATTCAAAGTTATGGTTTAGTTATAATGCTATGTATATAAGTTAAAATTTTAAATAGGTTTCAGGGTTTTTTTGTACTTGAACAAATATTGAAATACCTTGAATATTAGGACTTATGTTAACAATTAAGGTATTATACACGATTAAATACGTGATTTTTTTTTTATCAAATTTTCGGTAAAAATTTAGCATTGTAATTTGATTTAGATACTATCATTCATCAATAATTTAAATTCTAAAATGCTAAATAATAAGAAAAAATTAAATTTTTGAATTAATTTTAAAATAAGGTACATAGTTAAAGGTACCTACTTACTGCATACGGGATGGGCTGTCCAAGATACGGGACAAACGTGTTATTTTTAAACTTTTTTTCGGGATGCCGATACGCTTTATTCCAATACGGGATGATAGCACAAAATACGGACGTATGGGATCCTTAATTAAAAGTAGATAGGTAATTAGTAACTGTGATATCTATTCTGCATATTACTATATGTTAATGCGATCACCTGAAACGATCGTGCCGTTGTACTCCGACGGTACACACATTATAATATTATAGCAGTTTACTATTAATCTGTGGGCTGTGGCGTATCCACTTGGGTACGTACAGTTTTAACATTATTTATAATCGCTCCCGAAAACTGTACGATAAACAATAATTATTAATTATTCATAAATGATTTATAAAAAGTAAAATAAACTGTGCTCTCGTGACGTCGCGTAAGTGTTTTGAAATAAGCTGCGCTATCTGTCCAAACAAATTGTTAACTTTTTATACCACGCGAACAATTTTATTCCGATTCAGACAAACGTGTGTGCTGTGCATTACAATAATATTATGATCGAAAGGAGAATGTTGGGCCCGCGATCGAGCAAACGTTGCTTCGCCCCGAAGTTTTTTTGTTATCAAACTCTTAGTCGTTATCAATCAGTGACCATAAATCGCGGCTGGACGACTGTCCGTGAGCCGATCGTCTGCCGGTCGTCGTCCCGTTGGAACGTTGAATACCGAATGAAAAATCAACTAAAACACTCGGACTTAGAGCTCACGATATACGTCATTGTATCGTACGGACGACAAAAATAAAATAATATCATGTCCGCGTTACAAACGGCGTTGCGACGTACGACGGGTGTGATGATGCCGCCTAATGGTTTCTATCCTGCCCGGGTTTGGTGTTCGACCAGAGCTGTACCTGTGGGTGAGTTACTATTAAATAGTTAGTATTAATTAATTCGTCTCGTCGAGAATCGGTGTCGGCGACCCGGAGCACTGCGACGTGACGACGATTATAGTTCGACTGTAAACTGGCTCGCCTTTTCGTTTCGTCGCAGTTTTTTGCCCCGAAAATTAACATCAGTTATTTACCGATGTCTTGTTGCAGACAAAAAGTTCAGAGTCTTGGACTTGAAGAAAAAAGCTTTTGTGCCCGATGCGAAGAAAAAATACATCAAGACCATCACTTTACCGCCCAGGTAGGTACCTAATATAATAATGTTAACAATTATTATTTATCGATTTGTGTTAAAATAATAAATACACATTGATTACACCAATTATTTGATTATTTCAGAGCTTTAAGTATGCCTGTCGATCAAGATTGGTCTAATGTATGGCCCGGTCCTAGAACATTTCATCCGGCTACTGTGCCATTAGCAGTACGACAAGGGTATGATCCTAAAAGAGCATCACCCGGAAAATATGGCAATGCTGAACTAATGAAAATTCCAAATTTTCTGCATCTTACACCACCAGCAGTTAAAAAACATTGTAGTGCTTTAAAACAGTTTTGTACCGAATGGCCTAAAGGTTTAGAAACCGATGAAGATTGTGATAGACATTTCCCAATGACTACAATAACAACAGATTATTGTCATTCATCACCGACAATCAAAGATCCAAAAGCCAGAGTAGTTACAATCAAAGTATGTAGCGATTTTTGTGATTTTGGTAATAATACTATTAATACCATCTTATTATATGTATATCTACAGTATTTTCTGCTTTTTTTAATTAAGTATGTGATGTTGCAGTACCTACCTATTATTTTTTACAATATTTATAAACAACATATCCCAATATAAGAGATAATTATATTTTCCATTTTTAAATGATATGAAAATTATCTAACCGTGTAATAATAACATACTGAGATTAGAAAGTGTGCTTTACCATGCTGGAGCTATCAATTATTAATACATTGGATCAATTTTATAGTGATTTCATTAATTTTTATTTTGGCTATGTAACTAAGCAAATCAATAGATTTTTTACATTGACCCTCATACAATAATATATTCAATATAATCTTCTGTCTTGAACTACTGTCAATTTGCTTGCTCGATATTCATTTCTGAAAATAGTACTTTTATTATTAGTACTATTATATAGGTTCTGTGAAGATAAAATAAATTTGTAATTTTTTCATTCATAGACTCATAAATGTATTGTTTTGTTTACTAGATCAAACTAAGCACGTTTAATTTGGATAAACATGCCAGAGACAAAATGATCAGGTTGGTTGGAGACAGATATGATGAAGAATCTGATATACTTACTATTGTCACTGACCGTTGTCCAACGAGGAAACAAAACTATGATTACGGAGTTTATGTTCTCACAGCCTTGTACCATGAATCTAATGTAAGATATTAGATATTTATTATTTATACTTTAATATGCTTATAAAAAACCAAAACAAGTCGTTTTGTACAACTGATTTTTATTACAGACCTTTGAGGAATGGGAACGACAAAAACAAGAAGCAGACATGGAACATTACATTTGGGAAAACAATCCATCAAAAAGAGCCTATGTTACATTAACTCGATGGCCACAAAAGGTTTCTGACGATGATGTAAAATCACATTCTATTGATGATGATGTAGTGGGACAGAAATACAAAGAAGCCGTTACAGAATTATTAAACAATGGTAAAACTAACATTTAACTAAAAAATTGATCACATTTCAATAAAATATCTTATATTTTTAGGCGAAGATACATACACTTTGAATAAATACAAGGAAGCTGTGCTTGCTGTGGTATTACCTCAAAATATACAGTCTTAGAAAATTTAAAATTAGATATTTGTTATTTTGTACAATAAAATTAATTTTATTCAGACTTGACTACATCTTCTTCTTCTTTGATTACTATTGGCAATCTGTCGCCCCATTTACTTGATCGGGCACACCAAAAAAGGGATCTGTGAAATGAAGGAAAACAAGTTCATTATTAAAGTATAAATATGATAATAATTATTAACTAAAAACATGGTAGAAAAACAAACGGATTCATTAATTTATTATTGACTTTTTTTTCTATTCAAATTATCTACCATTATCTTATTGTAAATAGAATAATTTAGATATATAACAATAAATATATAATGGTTATATTAACATAAAAAGTGTTTAAGTGCTATAGACTATTCAATAGGACTATATATATATGTCTACCATGTATCTATCTTATAAATGTACAACATGGAAAATTTGTGTTCAGTAGTTTCAGTTTTGCGTAATAAACTATAAAAATAGAGTAAATTGATTTATGTATTGTCAAACTTGCAGGAAAGAATATTAGTTTTTTTACACAAAATTTTATGGGAAATTTTTTATTAAAATATTTTACATACTCATAACTTACTTAAAAAATACAATTACATAACTAATGAAAACAGAAAATTTTTACTATTAAGTTTAATAATAGGTAAATTTCTCTATTATCAATAATTTGCAAAATTGAAATTGCTAAATCCAAATTTGATGTCATACAATTGTAAAATGGAAACAATACATGCTAGTGTGGTGTTATCTTGAAATGTAATATTATGAGATATTTAAAGACTTAGGTATAACCCGTAAACTTATAAAGTGCATGTCACTAACATAATAATACATGTGTAAACAAAAGTTTTAAAATTAGTACCTATATTATTAGTTTAATAAAAACTACCCACCATCTGAGCCCATCAGAATGTTCTTTTTGATTTAATTTAGGTGGTCCAAGTTAGTGTTTTGTCAAGGGGAAATCTAGGTATTTAACTCAATAATTATCTTTCAGGAATTATTTAGGTAGGGAAAATCACTGAAAGATAATACCATGGGAGGTGTCTGCTTTTATCAATACAAGTTGAAAATTTCTTTTTCAACATACACGAATATAATATATAGCACCCGATTAAATTGGTATTACACAATAAAATATAATTATTAAATCTAAATATAGAAGACTATAGCAAATGTAAGAATACTTCGTTTTTTAAAATCGATTTCCTAAATAACTGAAAATATATTGTTGATATAAAAATGTGATTATACGATGTGCTCATAAGAGAACACTACACACAGAAATAAAATCAAGAAACACCCAACAGATAGGGTTGCCATTTATAAAAAATTACAAGCTGGGACACTATTATATTCTCCCCTTCCAAAAACATTCGTCGAAATTTTTTTTTAGCCATAATGTATATTATGCAAATCAGGTATTATAGTATGAAAACAAAATTTTATAAATATCGCTATAAAACATTGAATAATCGTCTTCAGCTATTTCCAAATTTTTCGACATTTATTTATTTTTAGTTATTTACGCATTACAACAATTCGGGACTAATTATGAGAAATTGGTACACATCCATCTCCCGGCCGGGAGTTGAAAAATATCGGGACTGTATAGTGAAAACCAGTAGTGTCCCGGCAAAATCGGACGAATGGCAACCCAACCAACACAGAAATAAAATTATTAAAATTTCAAATGCAGAAACACACAACATTTGGTTGACAATGCAACATACATTTTACGAATGGAAAGAAAAATAAAGTATGAAGTACTTTTGTATAAACATAAAAAATGAAGTATGAAGTACTGTTGTATAAACATATTTGATTAGTTTATTCGAAAAAAATGAAAAAGTTCAATAGCAGTTATTCAATGTTAAACTAGAAATGGATAAATATTGCCATGATTATTGTGTAGGAATAGTCACAAACGAATTATTTAAGTGTTCTGGTTAGACTCTATTGTCCCTATTTTATATGATATATTAATAAAATAATAATTGAATTTTTGAGTTGAGCGATACTTTAACCTTTCTCTTGTTCTTATTGTCAAAAATATTTTTTACAAATTGTACAAATAAAAATGTAAAGACGTAAAAAAAGAAAAAATTTCGCATTAATCGTGCCAATCACTAAAATACGTTTAGTGAACATCATGCTCATTTTGATGGGTTTTTACCCACCAACCCACAAGAAATTTGTAAATGGCGGTTCAAAAACACGCGATTTCACCGGATTTAGGGTAATACCAGCAAGTCTGAGTAAATATATTAACATTAATTTATAATATGTTATTATTTATAATTTAGAAATAATAATATTATGATTAGATGGTTAAAAAAATGTTTTCAATTGAAATGAAATTGACTGACAACCATGACCGAGGTGAGCTCGATAAACGACTTTTGGTACCAGGAACTTAGGAATTTATACGGTCGTGATACACGTTGGGAGTTTGAGTGATGTCGTCGTCGGAACACGCATGCGACACGAAAAATAATTTCTGGTACCCGGAACTCATGAACAGTTGGGGTTGCCGTCCTGTTGCGTTCCCACAGTCCTTTACCCTTATCAAATCCTGGTACCAGAAATCGTTTTTAAAGACTAGAATTTGACCTGCGTTTGACGCGTGCATACTCGATCAATTGAAATCTTTTGAATAGTGGTCGCCGCGATCTTTTATAACGACCCTGACCAGTAGACAGTCTGTTGACGGTGGTATAAGTTTAGTAGTAACCTATTAACGATGCTGCGTCAGTGCTTTTTACGATGTAAATGTATTAAATGAGACGATTGTAAATTTATTTGTATTTTTTCTATTTACTAATCCATAAACTCTATGCGAGTTTTTTATTTTATTTATTACGTCGAGTTGAAAATATAATACCTACTAATCTGCGATTTCCAATTCACATTGAGTATTAAAATAAGAAAAAAAATAACAATTTACTTAAACATTTTAAATGAGTAATATATATAATATAGGTACAAATTGGACCGTGGATTTGAATATAATTAACAATTATATAATTTTGTATTTAATTATTTTGGATTTTGTGTAAGTAATCAGGTAATCCTTATATGTATCATAGTTTTCAATTTATTAATATCAATTTTGTCTGTATATTGAAGTAAATTAAATTTTTTATGCTGTCCTAGAAACCCTATAAAAGTATACAATAATATTTTTTCGAACAAAAAACTATCATCTTAAAGGAAACTATTATAAACTATAAAATGTTATGAAAAAATCATTTAAGTGTAGAAATTTTATTAAAAACATTTTTTATTTATATATCAAGTACCTAATTGATGATTTAATAATTAAATAAACATTTTAATTTTATATATTTTTTTAAACAATTTTTTTTTTTATATTTTATAGTATTGTTTCAATGCAAACAAAAATTCAAAGACCATAGTTAAATTATATTATTTCAGATAACATAAACATGTTAAAGTAATAGTAGATTATAGCTTGAAACTTTGAAAAACATTTAAATTGTACAACCACATTATTATAAACAGTAATTTTTTAGCCTTAGGATAAAGAATAATTTAGAAGCCATCCATTATCATGATTTTATTTTATTAAATGCATGCATTTCTAAAATGTGTTAATTACCAACTAAAATATCTATAATAGTAAGTATTTAATACATTTAATTCAATAAACATAGTATTAATAGCTTTGGTATTCAAATTTGACTTATACAACATTTTTACTAAAAATGTTTTAATTATAAATTAAGCATTTACAAGACCAAATAATAGGTCATGTACCAGTTGTGGGCTCCAGGTGAATGTTGTGATACTAGTTATACTACTAAATTATTTACCCATGTATTAATTGTACCTACCATTAAACCTTTATATTTTCTACAGCTGATTAGTATGATAGTGATTTATAATTTTATTTATTTAACTTATTTCCTACATTTTTTATAAAATGTATTTCAAACAATTATTAAACATAATAAATAACTATGTGTATGAAATATAATTCATAACTATAAATTATTAAAATTAAAAAAAACTATAAATTTGTTTTTTCTAAATAAATATTATGAAATCTTATTAAATGCAAGTTTATATCTGCACAATTTACTCAATAGAATGTTTAAGTTAATTTTAAATTATGACCATCAAATAAAACTTGATATTTAAATACTCGATTATTTTATAATCTGATATTCTAATACCTAAAATCAACATATGAATAATTTACTTGATTATAGAATTTAAATTACATACTTTCCGTTTTTGGAAGCAGTAAATATAATTTCTTGCAGTTTACCACTGCTTGTGCACAATCGACAGATGGAATGCTTTGAACGTACTAAAACTGGTCTCACTATACGTGGCCACTGTTCGTCTGTGTTTGGCCTCTTTCCTATAATGATTAAAAAATGTCTGTTAAAATAATAATTGCCAACCTAGGTTGAAAAATATTTACTAACCTTTTTTTATTATAACATATGAAAAAAGTTCTCGTTTGATTACAGATTGTTGAGCTATCTTTGGTTTATAATAAGATACTTCAAAATTACAAGGTGTGTCGTCAGTATCATAACGCGGACAAGAATGTTCGTGAGGGCACTATAACAAATAAAATAACTGGTAAAACAACTAATTATGATTAGAAATTTTAAATCCTATAATAGCAGTTATTAAAATGTTACCGGTGAAAATACATGACTTTTTGTATTGTTTTGTGAAGATATTTCTAAGAGAAGGTCTCTGGCTTCATTTATCAAATTGAATCCAGCCTTCGTTCCAATTTCAATGAGTACAATATATTTTTTAGTCTTGTTCCATAAATTTAAAAGTGTCTCAAACCGAGTTTTAATGTCTGGTAGTTCAAACATACTGTATGCAGATACGACAAGATCAAACTTCAACTAAGAACAATATTAGACAAGAAATTATTAATTGTAAATACAAAATTAATATAATATAATATAATGTAGTCCATACGTTTGGTGATGCTGGTAAAAATTGTCTATAAAACAGACCTTTAGGCAATATATTTTCATTATTTGGATTCCCCTCTTGCAAAATAA